TATTTACAAAGATTTTTTTTAGAAATTCCAATTATTTGCAGGCAAAATTCTAAATGAAATAATAACTGTTCAAAAACATTTTATTGAATCACTGTATTAAAAAATGTAATAAACAAATAATCCACCATTCTTCAATCAACGGAAAATTAGGACTGCAGCCATTCAAACATGTTTCGTATAATGACAACATCTGTTCTTGAGTCTTCAATTGCTAATTCAATTTGAGTGGCAATCTCTTCGTCTGATTCGTCTGCCATATTATGTTCACTAGCAGGAATATTGCAATGGACAACCTTATGTTTTTTCATTGCCGCCTGTGATGGGAAATATTTACCGCAGAAACATATTCTCTTGGAAATTCTCCCAGCCACCGATGGAAAATAGAGATCAAAAGGCATGCTACTGTAACTGTGATCGGGCAGTAAATTTGCAGTAAATTTATGCAAAACTGCTGCACTCAAAAAAACGCTACAATGTGGACATCCACTTTGTCCTAAACCCCCCTCCTACCCTTTTTCCACTTTAGTCCACTTTTTGCTGAACCCCCTCACCCCTTTTTTGTGGACGTTTTTTATGGATGACCCCTTGACTGCCATGAGGCAGTATAAAGGCAAAAAACCCACAGGCTCTAACAGAGTGCCAGTATACTGACTTTATCAGACCTGTTTACCCCCAAACTCTCAAAATCGTACAATATCATCACAAAATCGTTAAATACATTATCTTAATAGTAAAAAATAAACAAAAGTATCAGTGTATACACCTCAAAATCGTACATTGTGCGCCAAAATCGTAAGAGTAAACAGGTCTGCTTTATCATATTTTATTAAATTTATCCCAAATTTTGTTCAGTCTATGTTCATTTATTCATTGTTCATAATTTGAAACTTCTACCTACAGTACTTACAGAGAAAATAAAATTATAAGTTATGAAAGCATGTTAGCATCCTTTGTTTAATCACTTAAAAATGATTTAGGGGCTATATAATTTTATATACCGGGGTAGATTATGCTAAAGGATTAATGAATAGGCCCAGGCCCTGAGTGCTCAAAATGCTCATCATATTAATGATAAAAAAAAAAAAATTAAATTTGAACAAATGGTAAAAATTCAATAAATGCAGCACTTTAGGCAGTTAAGGTTAAGGATTCACAAATACCATTGTTCTTCTTTCTTTGCACAACCATGATCAGATGTTAGCTTTTGGAACTAGCTCATCTTAGTCCTAGCAATATTCCAAACATTGAGTGAGGAAGTCGACAAATAAATTCAGCACTTAAGATTAAAAAACTAAATGAGGTGCTACAAAATTGTTAATTTATGCAGGATCTAACGTGAACCTCTCTAGATCAGCATTTACCAGACTTTTAAGTTTGGTCGAGCCGAAGATAATTTTATTTTATTTGACTATAAATATTTATGTGTTGCGAATCGGCAATGAAAGGCTTGTGCTGTTTCACGGACCATCGTTTGTGGAATGAAGGGCAATGCCGCACTAGCATTTTCCTCTGTTTTGGTCATTTGGATTCAGTTGCATTGTGTCAGACTGTTTTGTGTGTTATCTGACATCCCTCTTTTTTCCATAGAAATATTACTTTGGGTCGCCATTTTAAAGGCATGATCTTGTAGTGCCAAAAAATGTTTATTAAATACTTTTAAATAGTGTCCTTTTTTTCGTAAAAATTTAATACAATATCAGCTTTACTTGGTGACATAATGTCAGCTTTACTTGGTGACATAATGTCATCTTTACTTGGTGACATGTCAGCTTTACTTGGTGACATAATGTCAGCTTTACTTGGTGACATAATGTCAGCTTTACTTGGTATTTATAATTTATATGCTAAAGAAAATCACGATTTTTGAAGTTTGTTTTGAAATGTTACTTAAAAATATAACTGTTCCCCAAGTTTCTTGACAAATGTGCGCACCGGGTATGAAAGGCCCCTATTGGGGAAAACTGATGTAGAAAAAAAAAAAAAAAAGAAACGATTAGTAAATATTCTTTGGACTTTGCAAGCTAAAGAAAAACACGATGTTTGAAGGTTGTTTTGAAATGGTACATAAAAAAATAACGGTTCCCCAAGGTGCTTGACAAAGGGGCGCACCGGGGAAGAAAGGCTCCTATTGGGGAAAGCTGAGGGAGAAAAAAAAAAAAAAAAGAAACGATTAGTAAATATTCTTTGGACTTTGCAAGCAAATTAGCAGCTTTTAAGGGGCCACAATGTTTTAAGCCCGCCAACGTATGCTCACTTAAAAGTTGAGTAAAGGGGACGTAACACTACACAAGTTTTTAGTTTAGGAAATATTGACATGATCGCCTCCCTGAAATTGAGGGTTTTAAAGTCTGACTTCGTTATAAAGTTATTATTATAATTATATATTTTTGGCACATTTACCGGTACTTCAATTTTGTACTAATTTTGAAAATGTTGCTTATTATTTACATACTTAAGGGCCAGTGCTTTCTAATCTGTGGCCCACAAAATGATTTTTGGTGCTCGACGATTTCAGAGCCAAAAATAATGTGTATCAAAGGTGTATCTTCAACTGAATTTCCATTCACTGCTTTTGACTATTAATGGTATTTCTGGATTTTTAAACTGAATTACGATGGGTAGCTGAAATTGTCAAAGAGTTTTGATGCCAGAGTTCTTTAGGTATTTCATTTAATGCTCCCATTTTAATTCTAACCTGGAACCACCCATTGAATTATCTTCAGATCTACACCTCAAATGCATGATAAATAACTGTTATAATATGCACAGAGCACTTAAATATGGCCTACAATGTTTTGGGCCGAGCTAACACCTCTTTTGTTGCCCCGGCAATCATTTTACAGACATGCCCCATCTGCTGGGCATCGCCGTAGATCAGGCTTTCTGTGTGGATGTCTGGGCTGTTCCCAACCACCCCATTCATTAGTATGGGGCACTCGGCTAGCAAGTGCACTACCGTCTCCGGCGCATGTCCGCAATGACGGCAGCTTCGGTCCCAAAGAGGATGTAAATGTAACCTATTCGGGTAGCTTCGACTAGGCCAGTGTTCTGTTCTCATCTGGGTGATGTTACACTTGTATTCGCGTTTTTAATGTCCACCATTAAATTAATGGTTAATTTCCTTTCCTAATTGGTTGTGACATGTTCCGGTCAGGTTTACAGGGTTGAAACTAAGCTTAATGCCAAATTATGACCACGAGGCAACAAAAAACGGAAGTGAATTCAGTTTATATATGGCACCGGAGGCCAAAATGTCCTCCGGACGCTTAAAAAATTCCTTCCTTTGATAAAAAAAAAAGTCTAATAGAAACACCGAATTCAGGTCTACTCCAAAATATACCTCTTGATTGGAAATAGTATTGTTTTAAATTCTTCATAGAACACCGCCCCCCCCCCCCCCCCCCCCCCCCCCCCCCCCCCCCCCCCCCCCCCCCCCCCCGCCCCTTTCCCCTTGCAACCTTTCTGCTCAAGGGCCATTGGCGCACTCGATTTCTGCCCCACTTCCCCGATAAAAACGATCGCCAAATTTGGTACTGATAGATACACCGCCTTATGACGTAGCTAGTATTACTAGTGCCGCCATGGGTGGGCCAAGATTTTTGCCGCACTCCCTTTCACAGTACGAATTTCCAGTTGTATGAAAATGCTGCCCTAAGATAAAGAAAACGTGAGACTTGAACGAACCATCCAATCCGCCATCTTTCTACGCCACTGTCAAAGGCACAGCTTGAGCGTTTCGCACCAGGGGACAATATACATTTTTACGCCCTCAGAACTCTGACACCCATTATTCTCATCCATTAAATACCAGCTAAGCCCATTTTGGCACGGCCGCAAGTCTGGTGCCCCCGCTAGTCTGGCGTCCGGGGACAGCTGTCCCAGATGACGTCTCTGGCCACTGGCTCTGCTCACTGGAAATTCTGAAATGCACCCCCCCCCCCTCGGAGGAAATTGTCTAAAAGAAACACAGTTTCACAGATTATCGAAGTTACTAGTGCTGGCATGTGTAGACCTACTTCCTTCATATGAAGGTAGACTATCGATAAGTTAGTTGTATAATTACATTTCTAATTCTATGTGATGGCATGTATTTTCTTGGGCATGCAAATAGAATAAAATTAGGTACTGGTAATAACATTTTCGAGATGCCTGCCTGACTTTTTCTAAATCTGGGAAGCAAATGTAGGGCTACTACAAACGAATACTAACATAGAGAAGTTCTCATTGTTAAAAGTATAGATTCTCCATTTCCAGCATTTCCTGTGACTTGCACTTAAACTTAGAGCTATTTTTATTTCATTACGTCATTCCACTAAATATATTTAAAAAAATAATAAAAATGACGTTTTGCCATATTTTTACCTGGTACGTGTTTATTATTTACTGTGATTTGAACGTTTCTAGTTTAGCACATCGTGTAAACAATATGTTGAGCCGAAGCACAATAATTGTTAACTGTTATTAGTGTTATGCTAACCAAAAAATAGCAATTTTAATGTCAATGAAAAGCTTCCAAAATGAAGTTTTATTGTTTTGTTTTTTTTTAATTAAAAAAAAAATGTATGAACAATATGAATTTGAATATTTTCTGTTCTTGTTAGTGCTGCGTACGTGATACGATGGGACTCCATCAAAGTCGTGTATTGTTTGTGTAAATGGGGGCAGAAGCGCGGGTCTCTCCACTGGATAAAAATCATCTCATGAGTGGTTCCCCTTTCGTCGTTTTTACGGACAATACAGCAGGATGATTTTCTTCTGATGGAAGAAAAAGTGTTGTCACAAATTATTAGAGTTAGGGCTAACGAAACAAATCTAAAAAAAAATAAAAAATCATGGGCCTTGCCTTGTACTTTTTATCTTGACAATTTTCAATATTTGTGTTCAAAATGCGTGTAAGATTAACTTTTTATTTCTAAAAATAAATGATGTGGCGACAAGTTACTGACATGGGCCCTTACAACTTACTGTGATCAACTGATCACTGTGCTCAACAGTGTGTTTTCTAGGGTTATGCCCCCTTCGCATGGTTGTCAGTTTTGACGGGTTGTAAGTTGTAGCTAGTTACTAACAGAAATTTTGCAAACACATTTTCAACAGGTTAAAATTTAAAAAAAATAAATAAAAATAAAAGACAAACAAAGACAAATGTGCAACATCCCAAACCAACCGTTTATACTGTATGTATCAGTTGCCTCCCGGACTGTGGTCATCAGAGTCAGATCTTTTATAGCTGCTGCCTCGATCTGCCTATTGACATTTGGCTGAATTTGAAAATTAAAGAGGTGATAAGTAGTAAAGATAACAATTGAATCAAAATACACATTCATTCTCTTTACTTTTGCAGATGTTAAAGGAAACTGGTGAAATAACGGGATTACAAAGATCTACTTCATAGTATCGTGATAAACAGCGTCCTCCCCCCCCCCCCCCCACCCATCATAATAATAAAAAAAAAAAAATTTTGCAGAATTTAAAGGAAACTGGTGAAATAACGGGATTACAAAGATCTACTTCATAGTATCGTGATAAACAGCGTCCCCCCCCCCCCCCCCCATACCTATGATTATTAAAAAAAAATAACTACCACTTCTTTTAATTATTGGATAATTAAGTTGTGACACCAGTCAAGCCTTTTTTGTGTAAAACGAATAAAGACTTTGTCTCCTGTTTCTCTCAGGAGTAAGGAAAGTTTACACGCTTGGTTGGTCCGGACAACGCTATCGGGAACATACTCGTTACGGTACCAGTACCAGTATTTATCAATGCTACACACCCATCTATTTTATGTTCTTACCTGCCCGTTGGCCAGAATGAGCTTCATTCCATGTTTCTCAGAGTCAAGCAGCAACGTTTTCAAAGAGTGAATGGCTGTGTAGTCAAGGTCTGTCAGGTGCTCTAAGTTGAGGATTATTGTTTTGACATTGTTGGCTGGAACAGGGCAAGAAATGGAACACAATGTAAGGTGGTCAAAACCTAACACAACACAAAGAGCACCACGCAATAATTTACCATAGAGAGCGCTATAATGGGCACCAGTGATACATTGACCTTCAGGCCAACGAGAAATTAAAAAAAATATGGGTTAAATAACAGAGACAAATTAAAAACTATATTAATAATAATAATAATAAGTGGTCTTATATAGCGCGGTACCCCAGCCTAGGGCTGGGCTCACCGCGCTGTACATAAATATAGCAATAATCATAATATTAAAATAAAATACATAAATTCAGAGATTAAGTTGATAGAATGGGACTCAAAATTTCAGAATATTTGAAAATGAGTTACTTAAGAGGCATAAAGATCAATACAATGATCGTGGGCCCTCAAAATAAAGAAGATATTTTTTTTTTTTTTGTAAAGGCGTACAGAGAAGTGAGATTTGCTGTGAGGAACAAAAGAAACTTCGTAATATATAATGAATGAAGTATTATCCTTAAAATAACATAGTGAATAATAACGGCAGCTGCTTTATAAATGACTCTACCTTATATAAATCATATGAAGTTAATTTAATTTAGATAAAACATTAGAGAAGTTTTGTCTTATCAACTGTATCCAAAAATTTCTTATTAAATGGGCTCACATTCAGACGCTTTCTCAAGTGTCTGGATTTCTAAGTATTCTGCAGCAGGGAAATTAAGTCCTTGCATAGGTGTGACTATCAGACAGCCTCGCATGATTGAGTGCTGAAACAGAAGAAGTAGTTTGATGCATTCGGGGGAGGTGGATCAAAGCAATGAAATTTTGTGGGAAGATTATTCTATCCTGTAGCGCCCTCCTTCACCTCCATATGCCTTTAGTGGCCAATAAGCTCTGTTTTCTTTTTGTATCGGTGAATTTTATTTACATACATATATTTATTTATTTAGGCATTTTTATATAGCGCTTACCTTAAAGCTCTAAACGCTTTACAATTATTAAAAACATGCATGTAAACTAACTAAAATAAAAATGAGACATTAGGATAGTAACTACTATACTATAGAAACAATTAAAATGGCTATAAAACGAGGACACTTTGGACATATATGATATATACCGGTCTATATTTCAGACAGAGATATACATTTTACCTTGATTTTTGGTCTTGCTGTTGGGTAGAGAAGCATAAACAAAGATAATCCAATGCCAATCAAAATGCCATACTGTAAATTAAAACAAATGAAAATTGACTGACACTGACATTTATTCATGAACTTTTTTTTTTCGCGATATAAAATGTTTCCCCCTCATATTTAGTCGTTAAATAACGTGTTTGATTATTAAAATATTGTTAGATAGACAAGAAGATAGATGGGCAAATCGATTTAGCAAAGTATAGATCTATATAAAAACACACTAGTTGCCATGCCTTTTTAAAGATTTTATAAGCAAACGTTTCTAAACAAAGTCATTGCACTTCTATGCACTTGTCATCAGAAACAAAACTTTTAGAATGAAATGTTCAGTGTATTTCATGTCACTTACCTCGATTCCCACCAACAGAGAACAGATGAACGTTATTGAGTATGGAATCAGGTCCCATTCTAATCAGAGGAAAGTAAAACTAGTTTGTAATTTCTCTAACATTTAAATATTCTTAAAAGGTTCATTAATTTGTGTGTATGTGTGTGTGTGGGGGGGGGGGGAAGAGGTCGTTTTCGTAAGAGTCACAATCAAGCGATCCGACTTCACGTAAAGTTAGATCTAATAATGTAATTACAATGTAAGGGAAATGAATGACGTTCCATAGCTTGAGTATTATCTAAACGGCTCCATATTTTACTAGTTGAAGCACGATCGTTGTATTGATGCCCCACACAAACACCACGCAATGAGAACACACTTTATACTTGGGTTGAATTCTGGCTTTTTGAGACTTCTGTCAAATGGCCTTTTGATTCTGACGCATCACTCATATATGCTAATTGGCTCTTCCGGATCACATCCCACCAAGCGTACCAACAAACACATCAATATTCACACCATAACACCCAGCACAAAGTCGTGCACTGACACGTATAAAAAAATAAATAAATAAGATTAACCGTCAGGTTCATAACAGTAATCACATAAGGTTACCAAGCAACACACATGTGGCATACCTGAACAAGACCAGGCACTTCTATCCATCCCTGTGGCTCTACAGCTGATGTAGGGCCTTGCCCTTCCTCGCCACTTCCTTCCACTCAGATCTAAGTAATGATTTATTTTCCATGCTAGGATGCCCAGCTGCTGTAGATATGTTCCCGAACCATCCATCCACACAAACACTTTTACACAAACCATCCATCCACACAAACACTTTTACAAAAACCATCCATCCACACAAACACTTTTACACAAACCATCCATCCACACAAACACTTTTAAAAACGCTTATCAAATTTGGGAAGTTCATTTGAAATAACAAAAAAAAAAAAAAAAAAAAAAGAAATATTATGCAACGCTGCAACTGATCTGCTCAGTTGAAAATTGGAATAGTGATATCAAATCATGGTGTAGAGCAAACCTTTTTGGTTTTCCTTTGACAAACTCATTAGGTTTCAATGATAAGTTCACATATAAAAAAGCTACACAAATTGTAACATTTCGGGGATTCCCGTCCTCTCCTAGGACGTCACTGTTTTGTGTGTATCCGTAACAATACGTCATTAAATAAAATTATAAAATTTAGACTCGGCCAATCCTCATGCTTTTCTTGGCGTATCTGTTTTTATGAAGATTAATACATGATACAGGGAAGGTCCTATCCTGGGTATAAAACACGGGCACGAGTTTTATATGCTTCAGAGAATGTTTGAGAAAGGCGAAAGGGGTTCACGGCATGAAACATAGTTATAACTCTAGGATGTAGCGGGACAAGATTTTTTTAGGCTTGAAATGACAAGGTAGGCAAATTCAAAGGCCGGTTCGGCTTAATGCGTTCTTCAGCGGACAAGATAAAAAAAGGAAAAAAAAAAAAAAAAGATTTATAATAAATTTAAAAACAAACAAAACAAATGTGCTAGAAGATCTCAATGTTAGAAACAAAGCGCTATGCGTGTAGAAAAGAGACGCGATTTTGTTATATAATTATTCTTTATAATTTCTAACAATAGGCGGTGCAACACGTTGATTATACAAACATAACAAATACCCAGTGCAGGCCTGCACAACTCAAAATGCAAGGCGGGCCGTAATATATTATGAAAAATTTGTGCGGGCCAAAAGAAAATAGGTCAGGGGGAAAGCTGTTAAGAAAATAATAAGAATAAAGAATATTTCGTTACTTCGCGGGCCACAAAGTGGATGCTGGCGGGCCACATGCGACCCGCGGGCCATATGTTGTGCAGGCCTGCCCTTGTGGATCTTTCTGGTGCACCCCGTCATTAATTCCCTGCTTCCCCCGTCTTGCGCTTGATTATCTCATGCACCAAATGCACACGAAAGAACACATTCGACAACCCTCGTGTGGTGTGTCGTGCTTGTGGTTGCTACACTGTTTCGACAACCCTCGTGTGGTGTGTCGCGCTTGTGGTTGCTACACTGTTTCGACAACCCTCGGGTGGTGTGTCGCGCTTGTGGTTGCTACACTGTTTCTACGTTTTTTTTAGTTTGATATTATGAGCTCTGACTTGCATTGATTTAGGTTAAGGTATTGAGTTCTTAAGCTTATTCATTTCTTGCTCTTATTGCTACGCTCATTGAGATCTTACAAGCCTAATGAAGGCATCTCGTCCATTATGTTACACGCTTACCGCCAACGTGGGTGTCTTGTCTCAACTAGTCTTTTTTTAAATTCACTTTCATCACGTATACATAAAAATTAACAATTTAAAATAAGTTTTAGATATTATTTGTATAACCTTTATTATAAACAAATGATAATATACATGTTAAAAAGCTTTAAAAAAAAAAAAAAGGTGTATTTGGGGACCGAGGCTGGGGTAGAGTTATCAAGTTTCACTACATATTGTAATATGTGATTTATTTTTAATTGATGAAAATAAGAATTCCACCTACTGTTTGCCCGCCATAGCTGTACGACCACGTGGTATTCAACCATCGGCAGCACCGCAGCTATGATGACGGCGGCCAGAGCAGACTTTGGGATGTAGTAGAACCACGGCGTTAGAACGCACAGGGCGAGAATGACAAGTCCACCTGTCCAGACGCCACCCATGGGGGTGCGAACGCCACTTTGAGAATTTACAGCTGTTCTTTAAAAGAAAAGGAATACGAAAAAAAGTTTTTGAGTCATTGGGTCTTGTGACAAAGAATTCTGGTGATTCTAAAATTACTGAGATGAAAAAAAAAAAAAAAAAGATAATTAAAAATAAGACAAAATTATATAAACTTCTTTAGTTCAAACTATTCAATTATTGTTACAAAAGTTTTTATTAGTTCATTTATTGTTCTTTAAAAGAAAAGGAATACGAAAAAAAGTTTTTGAGTCATTGGGTCTTGTGACAAAGAATTCTGGTGATTCTAAAATTACTGAGATGAAAAAAAAAAAAAAAATGATAATTAAAAATAAGACAAAATTATATAAACTTCTTTAGTTCAAACTATTCAATTAGTGGTACAAAAGTTGTTATTAGTTCATTTAAGGGTCTCAAAAGGGCGTAACATCCCACCCCACACATGCCATCGACTAAGGCTCTAAAACGGGAGTGGGCAGTTTTTTCCTTGGACGTAATTTTTTTATACTGTCTATTTTTCAATGAAGATGGCTTCCGAGTTTATTCCCATTTCATTCCCAGTTCATTCCGAGTTCATTCCGAGTTCATTCCGAGTTCATTACGACTTCATTCCCGTTCTTTCCCAGTGTAATTCGAGTTCATTACGAGTTTCTTCCGAGTTCCGTTCGTGTTTATTTCCATTTCATTTCGAGTTCATTCCGAATTTATTCTCAGTTCATTCCGAGTTCAGTCGAAGTCAATTCTGAGTTCACTCCAAGTACACTCCGAGTTCATTCCAAGTACACTCCGAATTCTTTCTTATAAACAAGCAGATTAATAATACAAAAATTTGGTTTGAAAACTAGTATTAGTTTGACAATTTGATCATTCAAAATGTGTACATGTTATGTAAACAATATTCCATTTCTCGGAACTGTTGTGAACCGCATTCAACGTTTTAGTGGGCAGCGCGTTGTCCATCCCTGCTCTAAAACATGTTTGCTGAGTGGTACAAGTATTTGTTTGGTCTTAAGGTCTATTAACTCACAGAGCATCATCATATTTTGAAGTCAGAGAAGAAGTGTTAAGTAACTTACGGTACCGGTACAAATTCAAGCCTATAATCAGTTGTCAGTGTTTCGAAAGCTTTTCAGCTGCAGTTAGGACACGACTCCCATTGATGTATTATTATTATTTGCCAAACTTCTTAAATTGTTCATCTTTTTTTTTTCTATTTCGGACACGCATGTTAGGAGGACGTCATTCCACAACTTTAAACCTTTAAACAGGAGCCTTACAAGATTGTACTCTTTGTGTGTGTGTATACATTGATATATGCATCTTTCGAGAATTTTACTTTTTCTCTCCCTGTGCTGTAAGTTAAAATGTTCCTATTTCTAAATATTTAATCTAGTATTTTGACACAAAATTAATGCTATAATTAAAGTGAATATTGTTCACATCACTAGCTATCGTATTGTATTTCTCTGTACACTGGTTTTCAGTCCTTTGTTATTTATTCATCTAATGAGCCAAATCTTAAAACTAATTATTATTTGCGACATATTTATAACGGCACGTGGCAGCATTCTATTACCTGGAGAAGCTGCCCGTCACGGGGTACGATTGAAAAAATGAGCTGACAATGTTGGACACACCAATAGCCACGAGCTCCTGGGTGGGGTCAATTTTGTAGTTGTTAGCACGAGCTGGATTTATAAATGAAAGGAACATATTGCATTCATTAATTTGTGCATGCACGAGAATAGAAACATATCATTAATAATATAAGATATGCTGCAAATAAAAATATTCCACGATTTCACACACGCTTATTAACAATAAAAACTTCAATTTAATATTTGGAATTATGTTTCTGTTAACCTTAAGTGTCATCATGGAAGTGTACAGAGCTTACCGAATGCCTTGCCAATCGCCATAGTTTCCACAATGGCCAAAAGGGGAACAATACCCAGACCAGCTCCTAGCGTCTTTATCAAATAAATATTTTTAAAAGTAAATAAATAACCGTTCAAAATTAATTGTATTAACCTTAAAAAAATGCTACGTGATTAAATAGAATACGTTCTATGCTAAAATAAAAACGTAAACCAATTTAAAAATACATTTTATCGCGTGCCTATTTATAGGTCTTTGGAATAATAATTTAAAAGCATGATAAATATTTTCATAATGTAGAGAATTCTTATAATTTTAAATTAAAAGTATACATTTAATTTATGTTATTTAAACATTATATTTAGATGGTGAAGATAACTATCTCCTAATGCTAAAAAGTAATTCAATTGAACGGTCTGATAACTGTCAAGAACACGCTTCAACTCACAGAGAATATTTCCCCTGTACTCATTGTGATGTTCTCGTTGTTTATTTCGAACTTTGGAATCGAGAGTGTCGGTAATCCGGCCGCGATTTCTCCGGTAACTGTGATGGTGTCATTAAACCCCTGGCTCTCCAGGATTGCGACGACCCCGGCTGCGCTTATCACAACAATTGCATTCGATGCTGGAGACATTTGGTAAAAATGAGTTTATCTTAGCGCGGATGTATAGAAATGGGCTAGGAGTTGAGCCGTTGCCAGGGCACTGAAAAGCTCTCTGTGGGAAAGGAGGCCTCGTTTATTTAAATTTAAGGGGCCCAAAGTTGGTATGTGGAAACTTTAATAAAAAGATATTGGTCGAAAAAAGTGTGTGGGGGGGGGTATAAGAAGAAAATGGGAGAGGGTCTCCAAAAGTCACTTGAAGGCTTCAGAAAGGGGCTTATGTTTTAAGAAATCATCTGAAAGAAATTTAGGTAGCATTAAGTTTGTTTGCATATCTTATGTTATGAGCAGAGGTGTAAACGTAAAAAAGAAAACCGTATGGGGGTCATTAGAAGCTGCATAACAGTCACAAAATATATTATTAATAGAGCAATATATTACTGGTTATAATAACGATATTATTTTTGTTGTTATTATATCTAACAAGTTACAAAAGGAGTTAAGAGCGCATAAAACAAGTACATTTCTTATCTACTTATAAACTGAAGATGTAAAATCTAGCAAATATTTCATATTAACCGCGGCGTGTCCGATTGGTAGATAAATATAGTGGTGCATCAGGCGGGATTCGGTCTGCACCACAACGCACTTTTTGGCTACAGTTGAGGTTATTTGATCAAATGACCTAAACAAATCTCTGTGGTACTCACTGAGCGATGAGATTGTATCTATTGTAAAGAACAAAGTGGAGCCAAATTTTGTGTAATCGAACGCCACCATCGTTACACAAAAGACTGTACGTATTATACCCAAACCTATCTTTAATATACCCAAACCTATCTTTATTATACCTATACCAAACACTGTCTTTATTATACCAAACACTGTCTTTATTATACCAAACACTGTCTTTATTATACCAAACACTGTCTTTATTATACCAAACACTGTCTTTATTATACCAAACACTGTCTTTATTATACCCACCACTGTCTTTATTACGCCCTACACTGCCTTTTTAATTCCAACACTGTATTTTTAAAACCCAACACTGTCTTTATTACATCATATCCTGTCTTTATTACACCAGCGCAGTCTTTATTTGTTGTCATAACATTGTCTAATGTCATTATAAGTTTGTCCAAAATTATTATTTTCTGAGGCCTAAACATCTTATAGCCCACTGATTTTGTTAATATTTTGCTTGTAATTTTATTTCATAATAAATATTTTCCTTGTAATGTTGTGTCCTAAAAAAATATTACGCCAATTACAATGCTTTAAGCTGGGTCACGTAAACCTGACGTCATTTACCTGTTCCAATGACCCACAAAGATTTCCTAAAAACCATGGTGGGAATGGGGATCTTAATGTCAGGGTCATCCGCATCGGACCACTTGATTTCCCTCAGCCGTTTCATCAACAACACGACAACAAAGCTTGCGAGTCCCATGGTCATGTCCCAGATCCTGAAACATTAGTGTTTACCTTGCAACGTAGTTGAATGTTTTTAAAAAAATGCACAAACTGCAAAACTTGAGACACTGCCCAAGATAATCAACAGTGGTGCAGACTTACTTTCCCGTTGATTATAGTCTAGCTTTTATGTTGTTGAAAAGTTAATTTAAAGAATAAAAAAAAAAGATAATTACGTCCCAGTTGTTTGATTACAATCAGTGGCGTAGCTGGGATTAGAACAAGAGCCGCCAGGAGGTGGGTCATACTTTTTGTCCCACTCCCGCTATCTAAGAAAAAACAACTAAACAGTTGGTCGAAAATACCACCCCTCAACATAAAGAGATAAGTGCCGTCCGGGGTTTTAATCCCCTACCCCACCCCCTCCCCCCCCCAACCGAAACCCTCTTCCTACGTCACTGAATACAATCCAAATAAGTTAAAAATTAATATCATCATTGATTGGATGCATGGATGTGTGGTGCTGCAACTGTCTCGCTGTGATATTTTCATATTCGAATTTAGAGACAAGTGTTGTTAACATTTATTTGAGAACATATTTTTAAAAAATCGACCATAAGAAGGCCAGTTATTAAGAAAACCACGGATGCGATGTTCTTAAAGCTAGATCTACATTATTTTTTAGAGCAACAAACTTTCCATTGATATTTGTGAGATGAGGATTGAAATACCTTGTTTCGGGAATCTTCTTGCAGGTTTCATATACCATGTGTATGAAATCGTCTGAAATATCCGTCAGTCCCAGGACAGTCTTGTGAAATAAATAATTAGAAATATAACATGATTTATAATAAATCTGGCATCCTTAAAATGATATAAATATATAGTTTTCAAAAGTTTATATCATTAAAGCCATGACATTTTCTTTTTATTTAAAGGTTTCAACTCATTTGAAAGAAATTGGATCAAAATAGATCTGCTCGTGCTTGCCTTTAACTGTCCGAATGCGATGGTGATGGCTGCCGCACACGTGAAGGCGTTGATCACAGGGAATGAAATGAAGTTGACCAAGATGCCTGAAATGTCAATGGGGATCAAAACAATTGGTTCATCAATATGTTGGTTCTATTGTATATATCAAACGGTCCATATCCACAGCTTCCTTACAGCGGCCTTAAAAACGTTTCCCCGCTTCTGTCGTCGTAGTCACACAGCAGTTATGACAACATGACAACTTATGGTTGCTCCATTCACACAGCAGTTATGACAACATGACAACTTATGGTTGCTCCATTCACACAGCAGTTATGACAACATGACAACTTATGGTTGCTCCATTCACACAACAGTTATGACAACATGACAACTTATGGTTGCTCCATTTACACAACAGTTATAACAAGATGACAACTTATGGTTGCTCCATTTACACAACAGTTATGACAACATGACAACTTATGGTTGCTCCATTTACACAGCAGTTATGACAACATGACAACTTATGGTTGCTCCATTCACACAACAGTTATGACAACAGGACAACTTATGGTTGCTCCATTCACACAGCAGTTATGACAACATTACACCTTATGGTTGCTCCATTTACACAGCAGTTATGACAAAATGACAACTTATGGTTGCTCCATTTACACAACAGTTATGACAACATTAGAACTTATGGGTGCTCCATTTACACAACAGTTATGACAACATTACAACTTATGGTTGCTCCATTTACAAAACAGTTATGACAACATGACAACTTATGGTTGCTCCATTCACACAACAGTTATGACAACATTACAACTTATGGTTGCTCCATTCACACAACAGTTATGACAACACTACAACTTATGGTTGCTCCATTTACAGAGCAGTTATGACAACATGACAACTTATGGTTGCTCCATTTACACAACAGCTATGACAACATGAGAACTTATGGTTGCTCCATTTACACAACAGTTATAACAACATGACTTTTATGGTTGCTCCATTCACACAACAGTTATAACAACATGACAACTTATGGTTGCTCCATTCACACAACAGTTATAACAACATGACAACTTATGGTTGCTCCATTTACACAACAGTTATAACAACATGACAACTTATGGTTGCTCCATTCACACAATAGTTATAACAACATGACAACTTATGGTTGCTCCATTTACACAACAGTTATAACAAGATGACAACTTATGGTTGCTCCATTTACACAACAGTTATGACAACATGACAACTTATGGTTGCTCCATTTACACAACAGTTATGACAACATGACAACTTATGGTTGCTCCATTTACACAACAGTTATGACAACATTACAACTTATGGTTGCTCCATTTACACAACAGTTATGACAACATTACAACTTATGGTTGCTCCATTTACACAACAGTTATAACAACATGACAACTTATGGTTGCTCCATTTACACAACAGTTATGACAACATGACAACTTATGGTTGCTCCATTTACACAACAGTTATAACAATATGACAACTTACGGTTGCTCCATTTACACAACAGTTATAACAACATTACAACTTATGGTTGCTCCATTTACACAACAGTTATAACAACATGACAACTTATGGTTGCTCCATTTACACAACAGTTATAACAACATGACAACTTATGGTTGCTCCATTTACACAACAGTTATAACAACATGACAACTTATGGTTGCTCCATTTACACAACAGTTATAACAACATGACAACTTATGGTTGCTCCATTTACACAACAGTTATAACAACATGACAACTTATGGTTGCTCCATTTACACAACAGTTATAACAACATGACAACTTATGGTTGCTCCATTTACACAACAGTTATAACAACATTACAACTTATGGGTGCTCCATTTATAGAATAATCAATATATATTTTAATATACTAGAAATGTATATGTTTCAACACTAAATTTGATAATTTAAATTCGTTCGTTTTATTTTTTTTTTACTCATGGAAATATTTCGGCAGCTCTTTTGGCGTTAACAGGGAATTTAAAAAAAAATAATTAAAAAACACATGCCAGATTGTCCGATGTCTTTGTACATTCAGTGGTTTAGAATTTCTACACATGTCTAAACTTCCCAAAGAATAACTGCCTTACTCTAGCACACATGCCAGATTGTCCGATGTCTTTGTACATTCAGTGGTTTAGAATTTCTACACATGTCTAAACACCCCAAAGAATAACTGCCCTACTCTAGCTAACATAGAATGGGGTAAAAGTGAAAAGCTTGGAAGAAATGAGCGCTCCATGGACGTACATCAAAATATAGGCCATAATAAGCGCGTTCCTTACTATGACAATTGTTTCCCATGGCATCACTGCATCTGGTCAGAGTGATAGAGAAACGCTCTTAACAGGTGTCAGCAACAAGTGTCAGCAACAAGTGTCAGCAACAAGTGTCAGCAACACGTGTCAACAACAAGTGTCAGCAACACGTGTCAACAACAAGTGTCAACAACAAGTGTCAGCAACAAGTGTCAACAACACGTGTCAACAACAAGTATCAGCAACAAGTGTCAACAACAAGTGTCAACATGGTGTTGTGGTTGGCAGTGTCCCACTACTTTATATCTTACTCAGAAATATTTAATACAATATTTATGTATTTTATCTCACTTATTTTATAATACTTATTTTGAGAAAGTTTTCTCCGTGTCAGTGGGATATAATGAAAGATTTTACAAGTAAATAGTCTGTGATTTTTCTCCTTTTCTTATCGTGATGCTAGCGGAAGGGGGCGCGCGTGAACGAAAACTTTGAATTTTAGGCTTAAAAGTTCCCCTACCCCCTAAGCTAGCTGTTCCATTCCATTCTGCCTAGCTGTTCCATTCCATCCTGCCTAACTGTTCCATTCTATCCTGCTCTCATACATTCCTCTTGCAGTCCTCTCGGATACATTACAGCTAGATGTTATTTTTATTTAATTTTATTTTAACTGTTATTTGTTCGCCTATGAAGGCTTCCTTTCGACGCGTTCATTGTTTTGTTGGGTTCCTTTTTTTTCTCCAGGTTTTCCCACACTTTGTTTCGCTCATTTCCACTGCTCTTACACGCAGCCGAGGACGACTACGATGAAATCAAACCCACTGTCTCTTAGCAGCGAGTCAGACAACGCTACAGATGAGTTGACATTTTAAATTTATATGCCATACATGAGACACGAAGTAATTTAGCTCGTATTTTGTTTTCTTCCTCTAATTTGTGTTACCCCCAAGACAAACTACACAATTGCAAAAGAGTTTCTTTGGATGCATGAAATGAACCTGTTAAAACGATCAACTAATCGGAGGACGAGTTTTGGTTGATAACATGTAACAATCGCGTTCATAACTTTTGGGATGCCACACACAGAAGTCTTTAACGAACGCATGTAAGTAGATCTACTGCTGCTTGGAAAACACATGGAAAGTCTTTGATAAGAAATTGTACAGCCTTGGTACCAAAGTAAAAGATGAGCAAAAGAGGTGGATTATAGTATTTTGCTACTCCAAACTTTATGCACTGATTAGATTCTAGTTCTTACCAAGCTTCAGAATCCCCAATACGAGTTGTATGATACCCGTGAAAAGGGTCAGCACAATTGTCAGTGTGGGATCCTTCCCGCCGTTTGGTAGATAGGGGGACACGGCAGTTCCAAACGTGGCAGTCATGAGGGATAATATTGCCGTCGGGCCGAGCGTGATGTCTTTGGATGTGCCTAAAAAACAGTAGATGAAACATCCGACGAAAGCTGAGTACAGGCCGTACTGGGGAGAAAGAAACAAGGAGTTCATCAAATACTGGGGAGAAGGAAACAAATAGCTGATTAAATACGAGGGAGAAAGAAAAAAAGAGCTGATTAAATACTAAGGAGAAAGAAACAAAGAGCTGATCACATACTAGGGAGAAAGAAACAAAGAGCTGATTAAATACTAAGGAGAAAGAAACAAAGAGCTGATCACATACTAGGGAGAAAGAAACAAAGAGCTGATTAAATACTAAGGAGAAAGAAACAAAGAGCTGATCACATACTAGGGAGAAAGAAACAAAGAGCTGATTAAATACTAAGGAGAAAGAAACAAAGAGCTGATCATATACTAGGTAGAAAGAAACAAAGAGCTGATTAAATACTAAGGAGAAAGAAACAAAGAGCTGATCATATACTAGGTAGAAAGAAACAAAGAGCTGATTAAATACTAAGGAGAAAGAAACAAACAGCTAATCAAATACTAGGGAGAAAGAAACAAAGAGCTGATTAAATACTAAGGAGAAAGAAACAAAGAGCTGATCACATACTACGGAGAAAGAAACAAAGAGCTGATCACATACTAGGGAGAAAGAAACAAAGAGCTGATCACATACTAGGGAGAAAGAAACAAAGAGCTGATCACATACTAGGGAGAAAGAAACAAAGAGCTGATCATATACTAGGTAGAAAGAAACAAAGAGCTGATTAAATACTAAGGAGAAAGAATTAAAGAGCTGATTAAATACTAAGGAGAAAGAAACAAAGAGCTGATCAAATACTAGGTAGAAAGAAACAAAGAGCTGATTAAATACTAAGGAGTAAGAAACAAAGAGCTGATCAAATACTGGGTAGAAAGAAACAAAGAGCTGATTAAATACTAAGGAGAAAGAAACAAAGAGCTGATCATATACTAGGTAGAAAGAAACAAAGAGCTGATGAAATAACTAAGGAGAAAGAAACAAAGAGCTGATCATATACTACGGAGAAAGAAACAAAGAGCTGATTAAATACTAAGGAGAAAGAAACAAATAGCTGATCATATACTAGGTAGAAAGAAACAAAGAGCTGATTAAATACTAAGGAGAAAGAAACAAAGAGCTGATTAAATACTAAGGAGAAAGAAACAAAGAGCTGATCAAATACTAGGTAGAAAGAAACAAAGAGCTGATTAAATACTAAGGAGAAAGAAACAAAGAGCTGATCATATGCTAGGTAGAAAGAAACAAAGAGCTGATTAAATACTAATGAGAAAGAAACAAAGAGCTGATATCATACTAGGGAGAAAGAAACAAAGAGCTGATTAAATACTAAGGAGAAAGAAACAAAGAGCTGATCACATACTAGGTAGAAAGAAACAAAGAGCTGATTAAATACTAAGGAGAAAGAAACAAAGAGCTGATTAAATACTAAGGAGAAAGAAACAAAGAGCTGATCACATACTAGGGAGAAAGAAACAAAGAGCTGATCACATACTAGGGAGAAAGAAACAAAGAGCTGATTAAATACTAAGGAGAAAGAAACAAAGAGCTGATCAAATACTAGGGAGAAAGAAACAAAGAGCTGATTAAATACTAAGGAGAAAGAAACAAAGAGCTGATCAAATACTAGGGAGAAAGAAACAAAGAGCTGATTAAATACTAAGGAGAAAGAAACAAAGAGCTGATCAAATACTAGGGAGAAAGAAACAAAGAGCTGATTAAATACTAAGGAGAAAGAAACAAAGAGCTGATCACATACTAGGGAGAAAGAAACAAAGAGCTGATTAAATACTAAGGAGAAAGAAACAAAGAGCTGATCACATACTAGGGAGAAAGAAACAAAGAGCTGATTAAATACTAAGGAGAAAGAAACAAAGAGCTGATCACATACTAGGGAGAAAGAAACAAAGAGCTGATTAAATACTAAGGAGAAAGAAACAAAGAGCTGATCACATACTAGGGAGAAAGAAACAAAGAGCTGATTAAATACTAAGGAGAAAGAAACAAAGAGCTGATCACATACTAGGGAGAAAGAAACAAAGAGCTGATTAAATACTAAGGAGAAAGAAACAAAGAGCTGATCACATACTAGGGAGAAAGAAACAAAGAGCTGATTAAATACTAAGGAGAAAGAAACAAAGAGCTGATCACATACTAGGGAGAAAGAAACAAAGAGCTGATTAAATACTAAGGAGAAAGAAACAAAGAGCTGATCACATACTAGGGAGAAAGAAACAAAGAGCTGATTAAATACTAAGGAGAAAGAAACAAAGAGCTGATCACATACTAGGGAGAAAGAAACAAAGAGCTGATTAAATACTAAGGAGAAAGAAACAAAGAGCTGATCACATACTAGGGAGAAAGAAACAAAGAGCTGATTAAATACTAAGGAGAAAGAAACAAAGAGCTGATCACATACTAGGGAGAAAGAAACAAAGAGCTGATTAAATACTAAGGAGAAAGAAACAAAGAGCTGATCACATACTAGGGAGAAAGAAACAAAGAGCTGATTAAATACTAAGGAGAAAGAAACAAAGAGCTGATCACATACTAGGGAGAAAGAAACAAAGAGCTGATTAAATACTAAGGAGAAAGAAACAAAGAGCTGATTAAATACTAAGGAGAAAGAAACAAAGAGCTGATCACATACTAGGGAGAAAGAAACAAAGAGCTGATCACATACTAGGTAGAAAGAAACAAAGAGCTGATTAAATACTAAGGAGAAAGAAACAAAGAGCTGATTAAATACTAAGGAGAAAGAAACAAAGAGCTTATCATATACTAGGTAGAAAGAAACAAAGAGCTGATTAAATACTAAGGAGAAAGAAACAAAGAGCTGATCACATACTAGGGAGAAAGAAACAAAGAGCTGTTTAAATACTAAGGAGAAAGAAACAAAGAGCTGATTATATACTAGGGAGAAAGAAACAAAGAGCTGATTAAATACTAAGGAGAAAGAAACAAAGATCTGATCACATACTAGGGAGAAAGAAACAAAGAGCTGATTAAATACTAAGGAGAAAGAAACAAAGAGCTGATCACATACTAGGGAGAAAGAAACAAAGAGCTGATTAAATACTAAGGAGAAAGAAACAAAGAGCTGATCACATACTAGGGAGAAAGAAACAAAGAGCTGATCACATACTAGGGAGAAAGAAACAAAGAGCTGATTAAATACTAAGGAGAAAGAAACAAAGAGCTGATTAAATACTAAGGAGAAAGAAACAAAGAGCTGATCATATACTAGGTAGAAAGAAACAAAGAGCTGATTAAATACTAAGGAGAAAGAAACAAAGAGCTGATTAAATACTAAGGAGAAAGAAACAAAGAGCTGATTAAATACTAAGGAGAAAGAAACAAAGAGCTGATCATATACTAGGTAGAAAGAAACAAAGAGCTGATTAAATACTAAGGAGAAAGAAACAAAGAGCTGATCACATACTAGGGAGAAAGAAACAAAGAGCTGATTAAATACTAAGGAGAAAGAAACAAAGAGCTGATTAAATACTAAGGAGAAAGAAACAAAGAGCTAATCACATACTAGGGAGAAAGAAACAAAGAGCTGATCACATACTAGGGAGAAAGAAACAAAGAGCTGATTAAATACTAAGGAGAAAGAAACAAAGAGCTGATTATATACTAGGTAGAAAGAAACAAAGAGCTGATTAAATACTAAGGAGAAAGAAACAAAGAGCTGATCAAATACTGGGTAGAAAGAAACAAAGAGCTGATTAGATACTAAGGAGAAAGAAACAAAGAGCTGATCATATACTAGGTAGAAAGAAACAAAGAGCTGATTAAATACTAAGGAGAAAGAAACAAAGAGCTGATCATATACTAGGTAGAAAGAAACAAAGAGCTGATTAAATACTAAGGAGAAAGAAACAAAGAGCTGATTAAATACTAAGGAGAAAGAAACAAAGAGCTGATCAAATACTAGGTAGAAAGAAACAAAGAGCTGATTAAATACTAAGGAGAAAGAAACAAAGAGCTGATCAAATACTAGGGAGAAAGAAACAAAGAGCTGATTAAATACTAAGGAGAAAGAAACAAAGAGCTGATCAAATACTAGGGAGAAAGAAACAAAGAGCTGATTAAATACTAAGGAGAAAGAAACAAAGAGCTGATCAAATACTAGGGAGAAAGAAACAAAGAGCTGATTAAATACTAAGGAGAAAGAAACAAAGAGCTGATCAAATACTAGGGAGAAAGAAACAAAGAGCTGATTAAATACTAAGGAGAAAGAAACAAAGAGCTGATCAAATACTAGGGAGAAAGAAACAAAGAGCTGATTAAATACTAAGGAGAAAGAAACAAAGAGCTGATCAAATACTAGGGAGAAAGAAACAAAGAGCTGATTAAATACTAAGGAGAAAGAAACAAAGAGCTGATCAAATACTAGGGAGAAAGAAACAAAGAGCTGATTAAATACTAAGGAGAAAGAAACAAAGAGCTGATCAAATACTAGGGAGAAAGAAACAAAGAGCTGATTAAATACTAAGGAGAAAGAAACAAAGAGCTGATCAAATACTAGGGAGAAAGAAACAAAGAGCTGATTAAATACTAAGGAGAAAGAAACAAAGAGCTGATCAAATACTAGGGAGAAAGAAACAAAGAGCTGATTAAATACTAAGGAGAAAGAAACAAAGAGCTGATCAAATACTAGGTAGAAAGAAACAAAGAGCTGATTAAATACTAAGGAGAAAGAAACAAAGAGCTGATCATATACTAGGTAGAAAGAAACAAAGAGCTGATTAAATACTAAGGAGAAAGAAACAAAGAGCTGATCACATACTAGGGAGAAAGAAACAAAGAGCTGATTAAATACTAAGGAGAAAGAAACAAAGAGCTGATCATATACTAGGTAGAAAGAAACAAAGAGCTGATTAAATACTAAGGAGAAAGAAACAAAGAGCTGATCAAATACTGGGTAGAAAGAAACAAAGAGCTGATTAAATACTAAGGAGAAAGACACAAAGAGCTGATCAAATACTGGGTAGAAAGAAACAAAGAGCTGATTAAATACTAAGGAGAAAAAACAAAGAGCTGATCAAATACTGGGTAGAAAGAAACAAAGAGCTGATTAAATACTAAGGAGAAAAAACAAAGAGCTGATCAAATACTGGGTAGAAAGAAACAAAGATCTGATCAAATACTGGGTAGAAAGAAACAAAGAGCTGATCAAATACTGGGTAGAAAGAAACAAAGAGCTGATCACATACTATGTTTCTAAGAAACAACTGCTGATCAAATATTGATGTGTAAGAAATCGTTGTCTATCAATGGTCAAAGTTGACATCGCTGTTGGTAAATAATCGATGTGATTAACAGTCGATATATATGAGTCTTCATTTGCCGAAGGAATCAATCAAAGCGGATAGCATTCATGTTTGTACTTGTAAATTTAAAAAAAAGAAATAGTTATTAAAAAATGAGAGCCTAAAAAGAAAACATTTGAAATTAAAACGCGCTGGGATATTTGCATTTTGACTTTGTTAACTTTAGATTTAGTTAACTTTAGATTTAGTTAACTTTAGATTTAGTTAACTTTAGATTTAGTTAACTTGAGATTTAGTTAACTTCAGATTTAGTTAACTTTAGATTTAGTTAACTTGAGATTTAGTTCTCTTTAGACTTAGTTAACGTTAGATTTAGTTAACTTTAGATTTAGTTAACTTATGATTTAGTTAACTTTAGATTTAGTTAACTTGAGATTTAGTTAACTTGAGATTTAGTTATCTTTAGACTTAGTTAACTTTAAATTTCCATTGACAAGGTATCGATACGGATATTCCGATCTGAAATAATCGTCAACCGATTAAAACCACTTGACCCGTCTCAGCTAATACGTTAAACAAGTAAATGAAATAACTCGATTATTTGGAGTGGTCAATTCGGACAGTAACCGACGCCATGCTGCACCCCCCCCCCCCCCACTTAAAAAAAAAAAAAAAAAAAAAAAAAAAAAAAAAAAAAAGTAGATCTAATTATTTTTCCCCGAGACTTAGATGAGGACAATTTTACTGTAACACTTTTATATACGTATTGTAAAAAATAGTATTTATTTATCCATATTTGTATTTAAATGTAACTAACTATTGTTAATAATTTAATACAGGAATATAGTACCCAATCAGAATATTTTTTTTTCAATTTTCAAGGGTCGTTAATTAGTAGTAACATCATTAATTGTCCTGCCTTTGCTCTGATACATAATATTTTGAAAGCGTGGGGGGTGGGGGGGGTCGTCATAAAAGCTTACCTGGGGAGGGAGATCAGCGACTTGGGCATACGCTAATCCTTGTGGAATGACCGTCAGACCAACTGTAAAACCGGCTATCAGGTCGCTTTGGAATGTGTCGCACCTGTTAGGTAGAAAAACAGTTAACAAGTAACGAGACATTACGGTATGGGGGTCAGTCGCACATTTTTGCACTAAAAACATCTTGAGATTATTGAAAAACGTAAGCGTTAGCTATAAATAAGTAAGCTTAAGAAATACAATTAGTCAAATCAGGGTTAGATGGGAAGTAGATCTCTTCAAGACAAAAAAGTCATAAACTGGACGACAAAGCTCTCTCACCTATCTTCATACTGAGTATAGTTAACCATAGTGTCCTATGTATCCTGGTTTTAACCAATTTTATGAGCATTTTGTCATTGTAGTTCCGAAACTGCAACAGTATTTCAGGAGTCTATAACTCATCAATAAAAGGATCTAAATTCCTGATCAATCCTCCCAACCCCATTGAGCATTTTGCATGAACACAAGTAGACCTAGGATTTACCCAATATCTACGCATAGCCGGTTCGTAAATTTACACCAATGTGAATTCCTCAAGAATTTTCATCCCTGGCAACCATCTCAATGTTTCAAGCATTGATTTCACTGAAAACCATTTGAATGTTTCAAGCATTTTCATCACTGACTGCCATCCAGATTCCTATACAGTGCACTTAGTTCGACAGCCCAACTATTAATGCCACATGCCCTAACGTCACTTACGACATTACATAACTAGGTGGCGAACGATCAGTGACATATATGTCATAACTAAAATCGGTCCTATTTGATATTCAGATATATGTGTACTATAAACTTTATCAAACTTAACAACCTTCTGCACACAATCAACAATAAACATTTCTAAATCCTCATTCAAACCGTAGGATTCTGAAGACCCCCTCCCCCACCCACTTCTTATGTTTGTTTGTTTGTTTGTTGTTGTTGTTTTTTTTTTGGTTAATGTAATCTTTGACTCCTCACAGAGCAATTTTATTAAATAATGTCGTTTTAAAATTGACCTAACATTCAAAATTATCAAAATCTGATTCGAGGAAAAACAATTTTCGACTTAAACTCCCGACTCCCACCTAATACCCCCATGTTAAAATTTGTCATATATAGCATGAGCAAAACTAGCCGTAAAAAAACTCTCGCATCTTGAAGCCGTATTGGAATTTGTCAACGGTGCTTAGGTCTATCTAACAACACTGGTCCATAGAAGTGAAAAGGATAATACTATGCTTTGTGGTTTTTGTTCAAAATGGGACTCTCCATGGATGGAAAGGGGTGCTCATAGTTGAATGAAAGGGGTGCTCATAGTTGAATGAAAGGGGTGCTCATAGTTGAATGAAAGGGGTGCTCATAGTTGAATGAAAGGGGTGCTCATAGTTTAATGAAAGGGGTGCTCATAGTTGAATGAAAGTGGTGCTCATAGTTGAATGAAAGTGGTGCTCATAGTTGAATGAAAGGGGTGCTCATAGTTGAATGAAAGGGGTGCTCATAGTTGAATGAAAGGGGTGCTCATAGTTGAATGAAAGGGGTGCTCATAGTTGAATGAAAGGGGTGCTCATAGTTGAATGAAAGGGGTGCTCATAGTTGAATGAAAGGGGTGACGATGGTTCAAAAAGAGGTGGCTAAGCTTTCGTAGGAGATTTTTTTTTAAATTTAATAAAAGATACATAGCAACAAGGTTCTAGAAAGGTAATCTGTCAACGGAATTTCAAGGGAAAGTCTGATCAACCTGTTGACCAACGGGACATTCGTCTAAGAATCATACCTTCCTATAAAAACAGTATCCATACATTGCAACAATACATCATCCTGGCTCGCACATATGGATCAGCCCATTGTTATCCAAAGTGTATCAGGTATAAATTTGCACTTATGTTCTCGAAGAATTGGCGAACGGGGGCATTGCTGATGTTCAGTTTGAAGGATGCTCCTCGTAGACTTCATAAGGGCGAGCGCAGCACCGTCTAGATAACACGAACATGCTTCTCCCTACCGTAGAAGCTTACAGGTCAATCAGACTTCCTCTTTCATCAATGGACACAGTACGCTTCCGTAATGCCGAACTTTCGTAACAATATAAAGATCAACTGTGCTACTTGGTGTCGTTTCGTTAAATCTCTCTTGGAATTTATTCTGCATCATTCATTCACACACGACCCCCACCCCAGGTTTTTCACAATCAAATAATCAATTATCTATTACGAGCGAAAAAAAAATGCTCAAATATGAAATATTTTCCTCCTCAGATAGACATATTTCCAACAACAGCTGCGCACCCCCTCCTCCCCCCCCCCATGTTTTTCACAATCAAATATTCAATTATCTATTACGAGCGAAAAAAAAATGCTCAAATATGAAATATTTTCCTCCTCAGATAGACATATTTCCAACAACAGCTGCGCACCCCCTCCTCCCCCCCCCCAAAAAAAAACAAAACAAAACAACAACAACAAAACAACAAAAAACAAAACAACAACAACAACCGGTTTTGGCACCCAAGGAACACGTGGCAGCTGGAGCTGCACACCATTGACAAACACCCGAATGCGTTCAAGATGCGGCAGTTTCAGCAGTGCTACTTTGGGTGCGTACCGTACCTGTAATTTGGCAACCACTTTACGATTGGAAACTTGTTGAGTACATTCTGCAGGGTGAAAGTCTCCCGACAGCAGCTCTTCAATTTCTGCTTGATGGATGTCTTCTCTTGGGCGTCACCTGACGCTCCGTCTTCTGTGTCGTGCATCCAAGTTTTCTTTTCGTTTTTTCCCATCCCATTCGAAGCGGGCTAAAAATAAATAGCATTCATACGCTACAGTTTTGTTTGTTCAGTTTCTTATGTAGGAAAATTTTCTTGAACATGTGTATCCATTTATTAATGATACGCCATTTTAAGTCATAAAGAAAATAAAACCTGAAAATGTAACAACCCCTAAGTATCGGAAACAAAAATATAGTCAGGCAATACTTGTATTTGTTTAATGTACGCATTTCAACATTTGTATTATTAAGTCATGAAATTTGAGCAGTCAGCCGTATACACAGAATTCTCATCAGAGACAGTGTTATCAGTTCTTACCAAAGAACATGCATATAACTATTTAAAAAACACTTGCAATTGTTAAAACTCTCAGAGGAGGATCGACTCCTCGAAACAGGCATCGAACTGGGAACGATACCACATTTTATTTTTAAAAATTCAGTTAATCCAACAAGTAATGTTATTCATACTTTAAAAACAAAAATGACGTTTTAAATCTCTGGCCACTTTGAGAGAAAATGGGAAGTTGTTAAAAAATGGAGTAAAAAAATTAGAATACCTATGATTGTAACAGACAGAGATCACATATGAGTGTACCAGACAGAGATCACGTATGATTGTAACAGACAAATGTCCCATGTGAATGTACCAGACAGAGATCACGTATGATTGTACCAGACAGAGATGACATATGATTGTAACAGACAGAGATCACGTATGATTGTAACAGACAGAGATCACATATGATTTTACGAGACAGAGATCACATATGATTGTAACAGAGATCCCTTATGATAGTAACAGAAAGAGATCACATATGATTGTAACAGACAGAGATCATACAGGATTGTAACAGACAGAGAAGACATATGATTGTAACAGACAGAGATCATATATGATTGTAACAGACAGAGATCACCTATGATTGTAACAGACGGAGATGACATATGATTGTAACAGACAGAGATCATATATGATTGTAACAGACAGAGATCACCTATGATTGTAACAGACAGAGATCACATATGATTGTACCAGACAGAGATGACATATGATTGTAACAGACAGAGATGACATATGATTGTAACAGACAGAGATAACATATGATTGTAACAGACAGAGGTTAAATGTGATTGTAACAGACAGAGATGACATATGATTGTAACAGACAGAGATCACATATGATTGTAACAGACAGAGGTCACATGTGATTGTAACAGACAGAGATCACCTATGATTGTAACAGACAGAGATCACCTATGATTGTAACAGACAGAGATCACCTATGATTGTAACACATGACCAGGGATGTAGGTGGGAACTTGTAGGACAAATGACCACGGCTTAACGTGGGGAAGACAGGTGCAGGTATCAGACCAAGATGCAATGGGTGATGGAGGAGTCGACTTTGGTGGTTAATGATGGTTTATACTGATATGAGGAGTCGATGAAATACTCTCTTACTCTCATCAATATCCCTCATTTTCTATTCTCGGTGTTTCTTGTTTCAAAGTTTAAAGGGGTAGAACTTAAATCCTTTTACCCTGATAGAACGCACCATAGAATAATGTTAGTCGCACGTTTTCGGTTGGAACAGCTTAACTTCCGTTTCCGTAAATAACACAGAGGTCTTCCCGCGCTGAGCATTGAGCTACATGGAATTTATTGAGATCTTTGACAAAATAATTTCTTATTTCTATTTTTAATTTAGAGTATATACTGTTTCGTGTTCTGCATTGTCTGCTGTCGAAGACTTCTAGCCGTAATTCCTGTTTAATTGTCCTGTCTTTCCTTTTCAAAACTAAACATATCTTGTTACATTCTTTATTGTTAGAGAGGCTCAAGGCCAACAAATTATAATTGAAAATAAATAAAATAATACTATCACAACATACCCAACATATGACGTTAGCAATAAGATCGTTAGGGGGAGGAGGATGGGGACAATCACATAAACAGTATGCTCATTGCAATTTACTTTAACTTAAAGGAAAATTAAAATAAGAAATAATATGTATTGACGTCATTGTCTTTTAAATGCAGGTAAAAAAGTATCTGCTAATCTTTAGAAAATATCTGGTTACCGTTGTTTGCCTGGACAACACGGAACCTCCAGGATATAAACACACAGGTATGTCATTCATTGGTTAACATACGCTTGTTTTGTGACATGTCAAAATACTAGACGCTTTCATTTGTCTGTTGTCATTATGTCATTCAACGTGCAACGCATAGTATATAAAACTCTTCCTCTGCTTCCAATATATGAAACATAAGAAATAAATATGTCCTAGTGTGCATATATATATATATATATATATATATATATATATATATATATAGAGAGAGAGAGAGAGAGAGAGAGAGAGAGAGAGAGAGCACACTATATAGAGAAGAGAGCGACACTATATATAAAAGAGAGTTATATTTATATATAACTCTTCCTCTTCTTTCTATATATGAAAAAAATATAAGAAATATGTACTCTTGTGTATATATATATATATATATATATATATATATATATATATAGAGAGAGAGAGAGAGAGAGAGAGAGAGAGAGAGAGAGTACGCTCAATATTGACAAGAGAGCCTCACTATATACAAGAGAGAGTTGACTTGAGACAGGATTGCGTTCAAAACAGACTTATGTTTACGTTTACTTTAAGCAAGCTCACAACTAATTCAGGCCGTTTTTGCATTTACCATTTGCTAAAGATGGTAAACATAAGTTTCAAAGGTCGTATTGCTGTCTGCTTTTCTGTCTTATGAAAGATATTAGGAAAAAATTATGGGAAAGCTTGAAATATCGACCCAAAGCAGCAACACAGACTTATTGGCTGAAATCCTTCATCCATGAACGAACTGAAGAAAACGTTTGAAAGAAAATAAAGTAAACCCCCAGCTTAAAGATTGGCAACAAATACAAAGTTATCTATAAAGTAAACCACCAGCTTAAAGATTGGCCACAAATACAAAGTTATCCATAAAGTAAACCCCCAGCTTAAAGATTGACCACAAATACAAAGTTATCTATAAAGTAAACCACCAGCTTAAAGATTGACCACAAATACAAAGTTATCTATAAAGTAAACCACCAGCTTAAAGATTGACCACAAATACAAAGTTATCTATAAAGTAAACCACCAGCTTAAAGATTGGCCACAAATACAAAGTTATCTATAAAGTAAACCCCCAGCTTAAAGATTGACCACAAATACAAAGTTATCCATAAAGTAAACCACCAGCTTAAAGATTGACCACAAATACAAAGTTATCTATAAAATAAACCACCAGCTTAAAGATTGACCACAAATACAAAGTTATCTATAAAATAAACCACCAGCTTAAAGATTGACCACAAATACAAAGTTATCTATAAAGTAAACCACCAGCTTAAAGATTGACCACAAATACAAAGTTATCCATAAAGTAAACACCCAGCTTAAAGATTGACCACAAATACAAAGTTATCCATAAAGTAAACACCCAGCTTAAATATTGACCACAAATTCAAAGTTATCTATGAAGTAAACACCCAGCTTAAAGATTGACCACAAATTCAAAGTTATCCATGACCTAAACCAGTTTAAACTGACCAAGAATATTTCCTTGGCTCGAAATACACTAGTAGAAGTTGAGACCTTCCAATACTTGGACAGCGCCATTGACATAAATGGTTAAACCAACGCTGATGTCAGGTCTAGAATTCTAAAGGCTTGATCATCATTTGTGCTCTTAAAGAAAATATGGAGCTAATTTTGCAAACTGAATTCAGAATCTTATAAAACAAATGTCAAAACAATCGTAGTCTTTTAGAGCCAAAACTTGGAGAACAACAGCGAGCATTACGCAGAAAGTACAGACGTTCAAAAACAATTTCATTATAAAGATCCTGAAATCATAAGAGCCAAACACCATCCCAAATAAAGACTTAATGGAAAGGACGTTACCTGGAGCCTATTGCTGAAGACATCATATCATACTGAAAAGATGGAGGTGGATAGGAAACACTCTTCATAAAACCCCCTGAAAATATCACTAACACAGAATCGACAGGAAAAAGGGAAGGGAAGATATTACACTAGGTTAGATTTCATCAGGTTAGATTACATTAGATTATTATTACCTTAGATTATATTGCATTAGATTATTAGATCGAAACACAAGAGAAATGAGATCATTGGATTCGGAAAACTAAAGACTTATAAATAATAATACACAAAGAGGAAACAAAATTGTATAGGGACGCGCTCATTTTATATAACACAAAATATGAAAATAACATTGTTATTGACCACCCCCTCCCCACTAAAATTATTGAACTTTTCTAGAAATCATCCCCGATCCACCCTCATAACACAAAATAAAGTTAAAAAACGAGAACAAAAAAAATGAAAGCAAAAAAAACAAAACAAAAAAAAAAACAAAAAAAACCCAGAATTTATTCTAACAAAAATGTGCAAATTATTCTATTCAAAAACGACATTTTAGTCTTTTACTATAGTAGGGTCGGGAACCTTTTTGTCTGAGAGAGCCATGGACACCACATATTTTGAAAATTAATTCTGTGAGAGCCATACATTATGTTTAAAACTAAAAAAAATCCATTTCTGATCCTGAACTGCAGTAGACTTTAGTACATTTGTGGAATGAAATGGTGATATGCAATTAATATGTAGATCAAAGGAGTCTAAAGAAAAATTATTATTTTTTTTTATTATCGAATATTTGTCTGCGAGCCAGATGCAGCCATCAATAGAGCCACATCTGGTTCGCGAGCCATAGGTTCCCGACCCCTGATCTGTAGACTAATTTAGTTAATTTTTAAAAACAGATTTTTTTTGCAAAATATGCATTAATAAAATAAGAAACCAATTAAAAATAATTGCTTTAAAACATTGCTCTCTAGCAATCCCACGGCAATCCTACGGCAATCCCACGGCAATCCCACGGCAATCCCATACAACACAATATAAACAAACCATAAACCACCGCCCCCCCCCCTTTTTCGCGTTATATGCTATGTGCATGGTTCATATTGGCAGAAGAATAAGGCCTACATAATCATATAGATTATTAGAAGGAAGCCCAGTTGGATTGAACACACTCTAATTAAAGAGCCCTCAGACACCGCCCGGCAAGGACTGATATGAACCCATAAGGGATGAACAAGCACTCGTGGGAACACATGGAGACGGGACCTAACTAGATAATGATGAGATGGGGAATGACCTGAGCGAGATTGACAGACTAATGGAGAGAGGCCATTGACAACGGTAAATGGCAACCTCTAAATAGGTCGTATGAGAAAAAAAAATTATAATTAATTTAGGTATAATGCGAGACATCTATATACGACCAGTAAGGGCATTTTCATTTTCCCCTCGGACATTGACTGTTGTTTAAACTGAAAAGGGGCTAGTTTAAGAATTATAGACTCTTCGATGCTATTTAGAAGCTCGTGGTTTATAACACAGAATTCTAGCATCGGCTGATCTTTTTAATCATCTGTAAAATGCCGCAATAAGTCTCGTTTATAAATAACATTTTGAATCCAAGAATTGTTACGTTGGATCTAAGTAAATTTGCTATTTTCTTACCAGTGTGGCGACAGCTGCCGGATATTTAAAAAAAAAAGTACAGTAACATCAAAACATAAAAAAAAGAAATCATTCGCTGCAACTAATAGTTTTTAAAACGGTTTAAAGTCGTTAACACTCTATCGCAGTGGTTCTTAACCTGGGTTCGATCGAACCCCAGGGGTTCGTTGAGTCAGTCTCAGGGGTCCGGCGGAGGTCCTATTAAGAAGGGTTCGGTAAATGCGTATATGAAACCGGTGGGGTTCGGTACCTCCAAAAAGGTTAAGAACCACTGCTCTAACTCATTTAAATAATGACACGTCACAGAACGTCTCCCTCGTATCTGAATCCTCCCTACCGATGACGCCACGCTGTAACTAGTTTAAATATTCAATGTAAGTTAACTCACTTGTATCTCCTGAAATGACGTTTCAGCATTCACCACGTTTAACACAACTGGACCATCGTCATGTTTTTTATCACAATTAGCTGAGACATCAAAAACTTCCATCTTGAAAATAAGAAAAATAAATTTTATATATCGGTGAAATCTGCCTTCAACTATTAGACCAGCTGAAGTTTCTTCAGATACCAATCGGTAAGCAGGCTTGATGGATAAGAATCAAGAACAAAGCTGTGAACAGCGCTGGTAATGCGTGCTTTGTGAGACAGGATTCAACATATAGACAACGACAGCTCCTGTCGACCTTCATATCTCAAAGTTTGGAATGCCACGAATGTTGCTGGGGAGTTTCACACCAAGATTTGATAGTGGAGTCTCGCTTGCGTCCCTTGATAATGGAGTCTCTCTTGCGTTCTTTAATAGTGGAGTCTCACGTGTGTCCTTTAATAGTGGCGTCTCGCTTGTTTCCTTTAATAGTGGAGTCTAGCTTGCGCCCCTTGATAGTGGAGTCTCGCTTGCGTCCAAAGACTTTTATATACATCGTGAGGAACAACGCGTGTCATAATTTGATATCAAGTTATTGTGAAATGGAAGAACTTAAAGACTATTCGGTCAGATGATCAATAAACTAGTAAGAAGAAAACAAAGGCATAGCGAGAGTGTTTGGCACCCAGGGACTAGATGATCACCCAGGGACAAGATGATCACCCAGGGACTAGATGATCACCCAGGGACAAGATGATCACCCATGGACTAGATGATCACCCAGGGACAAGATGATCACCCAGGGACTAGATGATCACCCAGGGACAAGATGATCACCCAGAGACAAGATTCATTTTAAAGCGCCACCCTTTCCATTTTTCAACTCTCAAACACATTATTTTCATCAATAAAATAATATCAAAGCACATTTTAGCGCCCCTAATTAGCTAGCGCGCGGGAACATCTGTCTCTCCTGCGCCCCCCTCCCTTTTTTGTTTTGGCTACGCTTCTGGAAGAAGAAGCCAGTTAAGGAGAGGAGGAAATTTTGATGAACATTTTTTTACGGATCCCACAACTTTATTTTACCTTAACCACCCCTTCCCACCCCCTAACCCCACCAAATTGTTTTTTATTATTAAAAAAAAAAAAATCAGAAAATAACAGCAGACGAATCCTTTGACACTAAAAGTAGTTGCATACATTTATATTGCCATGAAAACGTTTGTGTTATAAATCGAGTCTTAATGATGTCGTGTTTCCTGAGGTGCACAATGAGTTCGGTCTCTCGTGTTCACTGTCCTTGCTGTCCATACATGACGTCATCACGGGACGAACTAAATCACAACATCTTTAAAACTCTGGTGGTCACTTGGTCAGCAGTTAGTACTATACAAGGTTGCTCCCTTATTTTTTAAATTATAAATGGCTTTCACAACAATGCCCCTATTCCCCCACCCCCCCCCCCACGATTTACTACTTTAATTGTAACATTCTGAAGGCACTTCGATCATTAGGTTATGGTTTATATGAGATAACAACAGATGTGACCCAGTGCATCCGAAATGTTAGATCTGGCAATTGGATTAATGGATTAGCAAGAAGAAAGATCCTGCCCCAAAGCTGCAATGACCGTGCTCTTGGTCTATGCAATGACCGTGCTCTTGGTCTATGCAATGACCGTGCTCTTGGTCTATGCAATGACCGTGCTCTTGGTCTATGCAATGACCGTGCTCTTGGTCTATGCAATGACCGTGCTCTTGGTCTATCTTGAAAGGTCTTTTTTTAAATTTTAGAAGTACCAGGGATCATTAATGAAATTAAATAGTTTGTGATTAAAGTGAACGAACCTAAAGCTTCATCATTTGTGATCGCCGGGAAGGGGTGGGGGGTGTTGGAAGGAGGGGATCGGATCCGTTTAAAGTGAATGTTTTCCACATTTATTAATTGGCGGTCACCGGGTCAGTTGATGGATTGGGCGCCCGATCTGCGATGACGCCAAAGGATGACGTAAGACTTTTATCTTTATTGCAAGGAATAAAAATCAGTTGACGTAATGCAAGTAAACATATTCGGCTGGTATTTGCTTAAAAACATTTTTGACAGCCAATTGCTGTCAGACCATTTTTGACAGCCCATTGCTGTCAGACCATTTTTGAAAGACCATTATTTGTAAAGGTATAATGTGAATCAACGTCACTGGTTTACTACAAATTCTATTAACATTCAGAAAACGACGGTGTGTGTGTGGGGGGAGTCCCTTCACTGGCGTAGCAAGGGGGCGGGGGGCAAGAAGGAGCGGTCCAACCAGAGCGGATATTTTTTAAAGATGTTTTCGGCCAACGGCATATTTTTTGTGTGGAAGGGGCAGCACACATCTTTGCCCGCCCTGGTTGGCACTAAATCTAGCCACGCCGCTGGGTCCCTTCGCGGCGTATGGCGGGTAATACCAACATTGAGACCATCAAAATACAAAAAAAAAAATTAAATGATAACATAAATAAATATTGGCGTTGTTAGTAAAAGTAGGGCCGTTTTCTACAACTTACAAGACGACATGGCAAATCTCCCTCACTACGTCAAAGAAGAAGTGTATTAAGTGTTTTTATAGGACACACATGACAGCTTAAGACACAGAAGATGATGTATAGTTTACTACATCTTGTTTGGCCATAAGAAGCTGATGTCATGAAACAACGAGTAGCAATGACAAATTATATATTATTCAGAATCAGAGCAAGATTTTTTTAACAGAAAAAAAAAAGAAATGGTTTTGTAGGATGTTGGATAAAATTTTTAAGAAAGCAATAGCTAATTGTCCGAAATACGATAACAGGCAGATATGAATCATGTTTAAGTATTGAGACGAACCATTATCTTCAGTGGAAATTTTTGGGGGGTCGGGTGGGGTGGAGGGGATCGGGAGGGCAGGACGGGGGGGCGTAGCGACTAAACGACGCTCTCGCCAGGTCACGGGAAAGGGGGCCACGCACACGTGACAGGTCATATCCAGAGAAACAAGTCATGGCCTTTCTAAAAGTGCACGAGAACGCCAGGTATTTGCATAGATAGGCCAAACCGGTGATGCGACGAGTCAGGAGAAAGGTCAGACCATAGAAAAAGTCTTTCAGTAATCGAGGTCCAACCTCACACGCTCATACTGAGAGAAAGTTTAGAGTCTTGGACTCTGATATAAAACAAGATTTAGCTTAACTCTAACATCGACTTATCGCTAAAATTATGACATTTACACGGATGACATGCTGTTCCCAATGCTTCAGAAACTAGTTCTGCACACATTTTGGTATTGACGAATGAAAATTGTTTGGACCAACACGTGTATCAGATTTATCAATAAATTCGTATTCATGAATATATTTTGTTTCTATTAGAACTGGTCTCAAGTAGACAAGAAATGATTTCAGTTAACAAGTCTTGCTAAAAAGTATTCTTTTGTGAGGTTTTAGATTTAGATTCAGTCGTTAAAAATGCAAGTGTCATTTCAATGATTAAAAACAAAAAAAAAGTATGTTAAAAAGTTAAATATCTTGATTTGTGTGTTATATAGAAGACGTGCTTACGTCACTTTCCCCGTGCCGTGAACTCTGTTTGACCCCAAAATTAGGCTGCGTTCGTATGGGGCGCGGCCTATTTCCTTTGATTTTGGTCGTTGTTTACTACCACTAACAACTAAAAATAATGAATATGTTCTAATAGAATGTTGTGGAAAGTTCGGGGGTGGACAAGAAAGGTAAACAATGTCTAAGTCGTTTTTGGAGTGCGTCTTACACTGCATGTATAAGTGTTTCAGAGAACATTGGGGGACGGAGATCACTGAAAGATAGTTTTCACACTTCACGAGACAAGTGTATTATTCTGTGCGTACTCATATGTATTTATTCGCATTCATCATTGTACATTATTAATTGGCACATTGTACTAACTATGTACCGGTATGAGACATCCCATACTCTGTAAGTTGATGATTGTAATTATATTTCTTTTGTTTTGTAATAATGTTAATACTTAAATAAATTGTATTAATTGTAATTAGCAACTGTTTTGAGTGTCGTATTTTTGCCATTATATTTCTCAATGATATCGTCCTTTCTTATGCACTGTTTGAACGAGCCATAAAATTAAAATAAGAGAATGAGTTCTCACTATAGAAGGTAGTGCGTAACATTTTTAATCAAATTAATTAGAATGCCGAAGAGAATAATAAATAAAAATTTGGAAAAAAAAAAAAAAAAAACAATTTAAAAAAATTACATTCTTTTAAGACAAACGCATAACTTTAAGAAAAAAAAAACATAAAATCGTAACATTTTTAATCAAATTAATTAGAATGCCGAAGAGAATAATAAATAAAAATTTGGAAAAAAAAAAAAAAAAACAATTTAAAAAAATTACATTCTTTTAAGACAGACGCATAACTTTATGGCAATGAAAACATAAAATCAAGTACTTTTTCAACGCTCTTCAAAAGAATTTTTTTTTTTATTCAAGTGCTCATGCAATGCAAATCAAAAGGAATAATTTATGACTAGTTAATTTCTTAAAAGTGGTCCCACCACAGAAAAAAAACAACCGCCACCCAAGTGAGTTAAATAAAAGTGGCTTAAAAAGACCATCCATTGATCAATGTTAACAGTGTTTAGAAGAATGCGTGGTAAACATTTGGTGGAATACAGCCGAAAAGTTGAGTCAGAAAGGCAGAACGTTAAAAAAAAAAAAAAAAAATTCGTAGGAAAGAGGGGAGGGGCGGCGGTTGGACTTTTATGACCCGGGGCGCCTTTTCGGCCAAATGCAGAGGGGAGGGGGCTGGAAAAATATTAGACCGCCCCCCCCCCCGGGTGGCACTAGCCATTGCTACATCACTCATCTATATAATCCTCATATTTCCTCCAGTGACTACAGCTCTCTTTTGGGAGACGTATTTTGAAACCGCCTTTTTGACACCCGACATGAGAGTGTCAAAATGTTTAATTTGCCTATTGTAACACTGGCGTTGAGGCCGGTAAGCGATAAAATCATGTTACATTCAGCCAAGATGCCCAACGGCCTTCGTATCTTCCCCAGGTCGTCTTCAAGTATATGTCTCTCAAAATGGGGGCATAAAGTCACGTAATTATGAAGTGGACCTTGGGGAAGTCGGTCAAGGAGTGGACGGGTGTGTGGGGTGGAGGGGGGGCGCTTAGGGAGAAGAATTTAATGCATAGGATTGTTAGTTTCTCAAAAGTGGTCTAAAACAGAATAAACACATCTCTCTAAAAAGGATTCAAGTGGATGCAATTCGCATTCCTTCCAGCGATAAGATTTCATTTGGTTACACTAATCTGCATCCTTTCTGACTGTTCAACTATAGGTCTGATAAAGCAATGAATTGGGTAAAAAGAAGTAGAGAAGTATGCGTGTAAAAGAACACTTGTTTTGTTTGTACCTTTGAGGCTTGTCTTTACCGGATACATCGGGGAAACAAGTTAAGCATCCTTTTTAGTAATGTCAATGTTATAACTTTAACAGTGAACTACATGTTGCTATT